GTCCCCTTCCCACTGGCTGGACCCAGTGATAACCCAGCTCCAACCATGCAGGTGATGACAATGCACACAAGAGATTGGAGAGGCAACATGATATAAGGAACCAGTGTCCCTGAATGACCGCTTGGAGCAAAGTTGCCCCACTGACCTGGACTGCTCACTTCAGAAATGTTAACTCCCCTCAGAGTTGTTATGTGAGAAACAAACTTCTTTGTTCTTTAAGCCACTGTTTTGTAGTCTTACAGCAGCTTAGCTTTTTACCCTAATACAACCATGCAACTTTCTTTGTGCATATTCAAAACAGCTTTACAAATGACTAGTTAACCATCTGTTTAGAAAATAGCCCTAACCTTCTAAGTATGTGATAATCAAATAATGAAACTCCTTCCTATGGCTACTATCCCAAGATTTCTTCGTCTGGTTAAAGGCTACTTAACAACTGAAATGGATCATTTATGGAGACCTACCTAGTCTTTATACTTTCATGCAATTAAGTCAACAAATAGTTGACTTTCTAGATGCTGGATATATAGAAAGGTTACAAAATTTATAAAAACTTGCCTTCTAGTGAGTGTTGTTTTTAATGTTGTGCTACGTTTTGTTTTAAGCAGAAAAATCATCTTTGTAGAATGCGGAACTGAGGCTAAGTATACAAAGAATCAACCCATGTGCCTACAGATCAACTGTTCTCTTGCTTTGCCCTAAAAATCAAGCAAAATATCTTAAAGACTAAGCACCCAGCTTTCTTTTCAAAGTATTTCCTAACCGCTTCGAACTGCATCATCTGAACTGTAAGAAGTGTCTAAAGCCCAGTCAAGATTTTTACTTGACGTCAATTACATCTCGATAAAACTGGGAAAAAAGATTGCACTGCAGAGGTAGATGGACCTAAATCGCTTGCTGAGTGTTGGAATTAATTACCCCAGCCATTTAGACAGCACTGCTGCGACTGGAAACTCTGGGTACCTGGACTTGCCTGGGGATTAGCTAAGGCCAGATGGTATGAGATGGCATTCCTCATCCTCACTGCAGGCTGAACAAACAGCCCAAAGCTGGTCTCTGGGGTTCTTCTCCACTCTCCAATAAGACTTGCTGAGGTTTAGTAGTTGAGTGAGAGGTCTGTCCTGGCTTTACCACAACTTGCTCTGTGACTATGAACATTCATGTTTTGGGCCTCAATCACCCCATCTGTACAAAGTGATATGGCTCCTTTCATTTCTATGTTTATGACAACCACTAGAAAGAACTAATTTTCTTTCCTGTACTCAACAGCAAAGTCATTTGGAAGACAGCAGCCAAGAATGGAAATGCCTCAGACTAGGGCACCAAGCAGAGTTCTGTGTTCTGCCTTCCCCAGGCTCTCTGCTGCTGGTGAAGACATTCCATCTTGCTGAATTTACAGTTTCTAAGAATAGGGACACTGGACACAACCACAGTGCAGTGCCTTAAACTTTGTAGGTGCTTTCTTAGTATTAGGCATTTTGTTTTTTTCTTTCAAGTAATCCCTGATTTCCAATTGCCGAGAGCAGTGATTTTCAACTGGTGTGCCACAAGGATTTTTAAAACATACCAATACCTATTTAGTCAAAGGCACTGACTTCTTCTCCCGTCGACTGTCAAATAAAAAAATGACAACAGCCAACACAATAGCTCTGGTACAAATTAATCAAAATTATACCTATTTCTTTTTTGTCAGACTGGCAAAAATATATATATATATTTTGGTATGCTGCAGAATTGTAGTAATTAGTTTGTGTGTGCCAGGAGATGAAAAGGGTTGAAAATCACAGCCATAGAGACAGCAACGAGTTGAATGGGAAGTTGCTGCTCCAGGTATTTCAGATGGCAGGATTAAAGGGTTTTTTGAGATAGGATTATTAAAACTAGTTTTTCCTGCTTGTCCATTAAAACTTTTTAAAAGCTTTAAAACACATTTAGCAATTCAAGTGAAGAGCATTTCAGAAAGACTAAGGTACCCCCTCAAAACAGCCAGCTTAACACAGTGCTCCCCAGCCTGAGTTCTGGTCTGCCAGCTGCCCCTCAATGCCAGCTCAGCCGCTCACTGGCTGCACTCCTTTGCAGAGCCGGTTTCCCCACTGGTTGACAGAAACAGCATCTCCCTCCAGGGGCTGTGTGAGAAGATAATGTGTATAAAGTGTCGGTTCTGCTTGACTCACAGTAAGTTACATCTCTACTTGCAGTGGGAAGATGTGGCTTCCCACCCCGTTAGCTCCTGAGGTAGTTAATAAACTGGAAAAAGAATACCATGTTTAATGTAGAGAACAACATGGGGTGGATACAATGCTAATTCCTCTTTGACCAGAGAAAAGTTTATTCTTGATGTTTCAATCAGTTAAAGAGGGGTAAGGTGCAATAAAACTCAAGGGGGCGCCCTGGCTGGTTTGGCTCAGCAGTTGAAGTGTCAGCCGGCAGTCCAGAGAGACCTGGGTTCAGTTCCCGCTAAGGGCACTTACCACAGTTGCAGTTTGTCCCTGGCCCTGGTTGGTCATACGGGTGGCGGCCACTCAATGTTTCCCTTTCACGTCGATGTTTATCTCTCTCTCTCTCCCTTTTTCTCCCTCCCACTCTATCTGAACAAAACATGGAAAAATGTTCTCGGATATTTTCCCGAGGATAAAAAAAAAAATACTCAAGGGGCCCAGGACACCCTACAGACTGGGGGGAAGGGAGAAGAGAAGCCACTGAAGTCAAGTTGCAAAACCCCACTTTCCATGTCACCATACCTGCAGCCCTGGCGCCGACTCCTGCCCAGCATCATGCCGTGTCACATAAGGTGCCCCGACCAAGCCCCCACACACACTCCCACAAGCCAAGGTGTGGTGGGTCCTCACACTGCCTGCTCTTGCAGCGTGTCCTTCCTTTGCAGCCCTTATCACAGCTGTAATTCTGTAATTATTTGATCAATGTGAACTTTTCTGGTCACCACTGTATACCCAGAGTCTAGCACAGTACACGGCACATAATAAGTTCTAAAATATTTGCTGGCTGAATAAATGGGCTGGCCATAGCTTGAGAATTCCTGAGGCTGGTTTTGGCCTAAACCCTGGCATCTGAATAAAGTTCAGTACGCAAAAGTGAGTATATTGGGGGATGCTAGGGTGGGCGTCAAGGTCAAAAACAGGAGAACTAATAGAGGTGGCAGGAGAAATCCATACATACCCAGGTATTGCCAATAGGTGAGGTGACAGATGAAGACAGTATGTGCTATATGCTAACTTTTTAGTAAAGGAAAAAAATAAAAATATATACATTTGTATATTTGATTTTACTTAAAAAGCTTGAGATATGTAAGAAATTAATAAGTGATTACCTATGAGGGGAGAAAGGCATGGAGTCTGCTCTATGAGAGTCTGTGGGAGTAAAATTTCTCAATGAATGTCTTTCTATATCATTTTATTTCTGAACTATGTAAAAAGAAATCTGGTAAAAAAAAAACTTTTTTTATATGTTAGAAGAAAAAAAGGAGAGTGCAGCTATGGAATTCAGCGCTTTTATAAAGTTCAGTCAACTCTGACAGTTTTTCCCTTTACCCTCTCCTGTATGCACAGCTAAAATACATTTTTTTTTGGTACGTGCCCCTAGCGGGAACCGAACCCAGGACTCTCTGGTCTGCAGGCTGACACTCCAACCACTGAGCCAAACCGGTCAGCGCAGCTAAAATACATTTACCAAGAACTGCTTCTCAAGATCCAGAAGAAGTGTTCCTTCTTCCACAACCCCTTCTCCACCCCTCCAAAGGGAATTCTACACAGCTCTTTTTTTTTTTAAATCCTCACCCTAGGACATTTTTCCATTTTTTGTTCAGGTAGAGTGGGAGGAAGGGAGGGAGAGAGAGAGAGAGAGGGAGGGAGAGAGAGAGAGAGGGAGGGGGAGAGAGAGAGAGAGAAGCATTGACGTGAAAGGGACACATCGAGTGGCTGCCACCCGCATGACCAACCAGGGCCAGGGACAAACTGCAACCGAGGTACGCACCCTTAGCAGAAATCGAACCCGGCTCTCTCTGGACCACAACCGACGCTCTAACCGCTGAGCCAAACCGGCCAGGGCTCTACACAGCTCTTATGGCCTTTGATATTCTCTTACCTAGGTTGGTTGTCTGCGTATATATACACGATATTTATAAACCCCCTGAAAGCAAGAACCATGTCTCATTTTATCTCTGTATTCCCTCTTGCCTAGTTGGGCCTCTCATACAGCAGACTCTGAACAAATAAAATATTACTTGAGAGGGGAGTTATTGCTTAATGGGTACAGAGTTTCTGTTTGGGGTGATGAAAATGTTTTGGAAATAGTGGTGATGGTTGCACAACATTGAGAATGTAATTAATATTGCTGAATTATAAACTTAAAAATGCTTAACTTTATGTTATATGTACATATACGTATACTTAACATTGTCAGCAGCTCAGTTCAGTCCAGAAAGAGAGTTTTAACTGGAGGTAACGTAAATCTTTAGTAAAATGAATGGGGTGGGACTGAGAGAAGGGTGTCGACGGGGGGGGGGGGGGGGTAGGGGGGGAAATATCTGTAACAACAAAAAAATAATTAAAAAAAAAAACGGACAGCACGATCATAGGAAGAATGTCAAGTTTGAGAAAAAGCCATCTGTTGATAACACAGCACACTGTGTTTAAACTAGATGTGGACATATATATCTTTTTAAGGACTAAAGAGGCTCTTGTATACTTTTTCTTTAACTTTCATCAAAAATGTAGATTCAAGCCCTGGACAGTTTGCTCAGCACTCAGAACACTGGCCTGTGGACCAAAGGATCTCTGGTTTGAGTCCCAGTCAAGGGCATGTGTCTGGGTTGCAGATTTGATCCCCGGTCCCAGTTGGGGTCATCTGGGAGCCAGCCCATCAATGTGTCTCTCTCACATAGAGGTTTCTCTCTCTCTCTCTCCCCACCTCCCTTTCCTTCCATTCTACCTGAAAATCAATGGAAAATTATCCTCAGGTGAGAATTAACAAAAAAATTAATTTAAAAAAATGTAGATTCCTAACTCAATAGAAAGACAATCAATAATCAGCCATTATCACACAGGAGGACCTCAACAAATGTTGATGTCTTCAGTTTTTCAAATCCCATGTCACAGCCACCTTGGTTTGATTCTCTCCTCTATGGAATTCCAAGAACTGGTTTGGTTCACTTCACCTTCTCACTGAAGCCAGTCCTTTCCTGCCATTCACTCAAACCCAGAACTCCTGATTTGTGGGGCTCACAATACTTCAATCACCTATAAAAGTGTCTGGAAATTGGATATTTTTAGCCAAAATCAGGAACATAAAACTTTTTTTTTTTTTTTAAGGGATATAGTGAATCCTGGTATTCATCACCAAAAAGATCCTCAAGTGTAAAAAAGTGCAATCTGTGCCTCTTTTAAAAATAGAGCCTTTAAGGTTAAAAGAAAAAAATCCCTCCCTGAACTCATCATTGCCAGACACATCAGCAACACAGGAGCAGACAAGACCCGCTGTTTCCATGACAGAGAACATGACCCTTTCAAACCACACCACTGAATGAAAGAAAATGGTGGGAGCTTTCCATATAGCGTTCCTCCACCCAGTCTTGGACACAGACATAACCCTCCCTCTTGAACTGGATCCCTGCCACCTTTGCAAAGGCCACTGGACATGTCTCTTAACCACTGGATTTCAGCTCTTCATCATTCTGCCTTGGGGATCCCTTCTCTTTAAGCTCTTTGTCACAGTCTGGGGAAATACTCTGACTTTCTACGGTGGTGAAGGCATCTGAGTCCAATTTTCTTCTTTTCTTCAGTTGGTGCAAGTGGGATTTGGATTTCATATGTGCTAAAACAAAACAAAAAGCACAAAATACTCATTAGAAATAATCCTAGAAGCATATAAAATTAACTATACAACTCTTCTCTTTAATAATAACAGAATCAACACATGTACTGGTATAGCTGCTTAGCAATTCTAAAGGAAGAATATGGGCTGGCTGGTGTGGCTCAATGATTGAGTATCGACCCATGCACCAAGAGGTCACCAGTTCGATTCCCGGTCAAGGCACATGCCCAGGTTGTGGGCCAAATCCCCAGTGGGGGACATGCAGGAGGTGGCCAATTGATGTTCTCTTTCATCTATGTTTCTATCTCTCTCTCTAAAATAAAGAAAAAAAAAATTAAAGTAAAAATAAAAAGATGCCCTGGCCGGTTTGGCTCAGCGGGTAGAGAGTCGGCCTGCGGTCCAGAGAGACCCGGGTTCGGTTCCCGCTAAGGGCATGTACTTCGGTTGCAGTTTGTCCCCGGCCCTGGTTTGTCGTGCGGGTGGCAGCCACTCGATATGTCCCTTTCACACTGATGTTTCTCTCTCTCTCTTTCTCTCTCCCTCCCTCCCTCCCTCCCACTCTATCTGAACAAAAAAATGGAAAAATGTCCTCAGGTGAGGATAAAAAAATAAATAAATAAATAAATAAATAAATAAATAAATAAATAAATAAATAAAGAATACATTATATGGACAGCTAGCTAGCAGGTATCAAGTGCACCCTGCTAGGTGCTTTACATTCACTAATCCTCCCAGTAATCTTGCAGACTGTACTATGCAACTCATTTTATACAGGAGGAAACTGAAGTTCACAGAGGTTAAGGTCACACAGCAGATAAGTTCCTCAGCTTACCTATAGCTCCAAAAAGAGGCTCAATTTTCCAGAATCAGGACTCTTGACTCAATTTTTCTGTATAGGGCTTCCTGTTACAGATACATTTCAATTCGCACGACTAAAAAGCTACAAATCCAAATCCTTGTCTGTATTACAGGACAGCTGCCCTGTCCTGCCACAGGCCTGCAGCACCCAGAGATGCTCTTCTCACTTCTTCCCTTCTCCACAGGTTGCCCCCTGCTCTGACATCCCTCTGGCTGGGTCAGATAAGCCATCTGAATGACTAACCCAACAAGGCTCACATTATGCAGACACACAATGCTCCAGGCAGATAACTAGAAACCTTCTCTGATGGTCCCTTCTGAGGGTCCACAGAAGCAGTCAAGCTATTGTTGCCTGATACTGATTTCTGACCTCTCACTCCAAAAATAGTTCCCACCCTCTGACTAACTCATACAAGCTCCTTTTCACTAGCCTGTTTTGTTTTGTTTTGTTTTTCCTAAGAAAATCTTATTTGGGAACACCTAAAAAAATAGACAACTAGATTAAGTTCTATTTTCTGTGTTTTTAAGGGGTTAGAAGCAAAAATAAATAAGGAAGGGGTTAGAAGTCAAAGAAAAGTTTACTTGGGGAGAAAAAGTCAGCTTTGTTCTCCAGCTAGGGCCTAAGGCAAAAAAAAAAAGGGTGGGGGGTGGGGGGGCTTCTGGACTGGCTCTCCATGGCAGCAGGAGATAGGAGCAAGGACTTGACAGATGGCACTATAGAAGGGCTTACACAAGCTATGCTCACAAAGGCTCACAAATGTTGCTTCTCTAAGGCTATCCCTGAAGGACACTGGACAAATCCAACCACTAAGTTTCCTTTAGAAAAAACAATCAGACACTCTCTCTCTCTTCCCCTTTCATCATTATAAACCAACGACAATCGAGGCTTCTTCTGCTGCTTGGGCAATCACAGCTCTCCCCAGTCTCTGACAATGAAGTTCATTTTGCCAGAGTTACCCAGTTAATAGAACCAATCATTCTACTGGTTGGTATAGGGAGAAAAATATACTCAGAATCCCATGCAAAGCAGTACTCTGAACAGAAGGATTCTAGCCACTAGGTAGTAGCTCGACTGTGCATAGAAGAAGTGAGCCTTAAATGAGTTTCTAAATGTGATGTAAATTCAAGGCTTGGAGGCTAAGGCCCTTTGGGCTTTGACTGGACGACTACAGACACCCGACAGACTGTGACTCTGAGGCAGATCCAGGCTTCTAAAACAGAAACAAAGCCTCCATACAGGGCCAATCCTTGGTTGGTCAGAAGTATCTTATAAAGAAGATATTATCACCCTGGCCAGTTTGGCTCAGCGGTTAGAGCGTCGGCCTGTGGTCCAGAGTGACCTGGGTTTGGTTCCCACTAAGGGCATGTACCTTGGTTGCAGTTTGTCCCCGGCCCTGGTTGGGTTGTGTGGGTGGCAACAACTCGATGTGTCCCTTTCTTTTTTTTTTTTTTATCCTCACTCGAGGACATTTTTCCATTTTTTGTTTTGTTTTGTTCAGATAGAGTAGGAGGGAGGGAGGGAAGGAGAGGGAGAGAGGGAGAGAGAGAGAGAGAGAGAGAGAGAGAGAGAGAGAAAGAGAAAGAAACATCAACGTGGGGACAAACTGCAACCGAGGTACTTGCCCTTAGCGGGAACTGAACCTGGGTCTCTCTGGACCACAGGTCAATGCTCTAACCACTAAACCAAACCGACCAGGGCTCAATGTGTCCCTTTCACGTCGATCTTTCTTTCTTTCTTTCTTTCTCTCTCTCTCCCTCCCACTCTACCTGAACAAACAAAAAAGAAGACATTATCTATAACCACCGTCTTTATACATGATTGACAGCCTTGCTTTCACACTTTGCTAGGCTGAATGTTAAGTTTCCCTTAATACTTTTCATCAGTTTTAGCAACCACCACCATTTCAACATATTACCTTAAAAATTACTGAAGACTTCTGAGCAATGTACGCAGGAAGAGTAACTGCACTTTCTGCTCCCTCCCGGCTGTTTTTGCTTCTTTGGTCTCTTGAGTGAGTTGCAGGGCTTCCCTTCAATTCTACCTTAACCCACCTGAGGTCTAAACATGAAAGGCCAAGGAGCTCCTATAAGGCAGGATCACAAAAGTCGAAGGAACTCTGGGAAGTTAACGGTAGACCTTTCAGTACAAATATCTACTCTTGTTGAAGCTAGAGGGCATATGATGTTCCTTTGAAATTCAGAATACAGAGATAACTGTCCAATTTGGGAAGGCATCCATGAAATTTGAATACAGGCTCTCAGAGGAATCTGGCCCTCCCTTAACAAATACACAGACTCTAGCATTCAACCTAGCAAAGACCTTGAATTTCATGAAGTCAGTGTGACCCACCCTTACAGATTTCTCTGTACCCTTCCCCAGACTCTACCTGTCCATTCACGGTCCCCAATGATGATTCGATCACAGAGGTCACACATGTGATAACTTCTCTTGTTCTCAGTTTCATTGCATAGAATCTTTACTGGAGTGGCAGCAGGCTTACGGCCCTGAAATAACAAAAGAGGGATGGAGGAGAAACACTCATCTCAAAGAGTCTTGGATATCATTCTCTGATATTAAGGACAGTGGGACTATCCCGAGATTCCCTTTTCTCATCCCAGAGAGCAGGTGGGCTGTGAACAAATTTTAGCAACAACCTTTCTGAATATGAAAGTAGAAACACAGCCTCCAGGAACCTAAAAGCAATCAACCCTTCTGCTCTTTTCCATGGAAAGAAGGCTTGGTTCCGGACAGAGCAACAAAGGTGTAAGCTAAGGAAAGCTGTCTGAAAACCAGACAATAGACAGTGCCATGATTAATAATCACCTGGATGAAACTTTGCACAATTTCAAGAGCAGGTTCAAGAACAGATTCCTCCCACTTCGAGATATCAGATACTTCTAAACCATATACTGGGGGGACACCGGGACCAGGTCCTAAAGATGACAAAGAAAAATTGTGAGAGGTCAGCCCCCAAGACCTAATCTATTCTGCTTCCAGGACTTCAAAATACTCAAGGAAAACATGGAGGCCAAAGGAATTAACATCCTGACCATACCATTCATTCTAACCAGAAATACGAACCAAACAGCTATACACAATCCAAGACAGACCTAGAAGGCTGCCTGATCTGCAGCCAACAAGTCCAGCTATATAATCCAGAGTCTTCCAAATCAGTCAGAAAAACAATATATAGTAACAACTCTAATGACCACTGTGTGGGTTATAATATCAAGATAGCACACCATAGGAGGAAATAAACTAATAATTCAAAGTACTTCTGAATGGAGATAAGACTGGAGGTAGCCAAGAGTATAGCTACAGGCCATTTGGAGCCAACCATGTTTAGTGTCTGCTAGTAGCTTCCCCAGTGTGTGGACACACTAAATTGCCTTCTAAGCTAGGTTAAGTCAGTTGCCTAAAAGCAAAGAGCATTGCCCCCATGGACAAAAACATCAAAGTCCTCAGGATGCCAACGGCTGGCAGGTGCTAGCCTTTTGATTGTGCCAACCACAAATAAGATTCTTCTTAAAGTGGACTGGGCTGCACCTGCCACCACACGGAAAGGTGAGACTGGGAGGATGCAGGCAGCATCCACAGCACACCTGGCCTTGGCTAAGCTTTGCACCTGTTTCCAGGCCACTCTATATTTTCCTTTCCCTTCTAAGTCCTTTGTTGGGCTTCTGTGCCCTGTCTAAGCACCTTTCAACAAGTTCTCGGCTCCCAGCTGCTATTCCTGGCTTGAGTCCAAGGCCAAGCTGGGGTGGGGAAGTCCCTCTGGCTTCTTGCCAGAACCGTGTCCCAGCAGACCAGCCCTGGCCAATCACACACAGCTCCTGATTTACAGGGCAGCTGTGCCTTTCACACTAACACCAGGGCTGTGCAGGCATATGCATGAATGGGGAACCGGCATACTATGCACTGTGCCATCAACCCCTCCTGACTCAGAGATGGGGAGTTATTGTGGCTTTACCACAGAAGGAAGTTCCAAATCATTACAAAAAAACATCTTTTGTTACAGACTAATTGTAGCCCTGGGGAGAAGAGAAGCTGCATTAGAAAATTTGTAGTAGTGAACTTCAATTTCAGCTGACTCAGGCTTCCTCTATCTAACAGGACATGCAGAGAAAGCAGGGTAAGCAGAAGCAAGTGTAAAGAGCCTCTTAGCACCAGAACAACAATGGAGAGCTCTGTCAGAGAGTGAGTTGGGAGAGAGAACATTGGCAATCTGGTGGCGAACAAGAATCAAGGTGTTTATGTTCAGAGGCACCGGGGAGCAGGGGTGGAGGGCCTTCACTGTCCTTATCTATAACTGAAAGCAGAAGTAAAAGGTAAACGGGATGATTCAGAAGCATATTTTAAACGTGCCCACAAAATAGCCCGGCTAGTGTGGCTCAGTGGTTGAACATCAACCCATGCACCAAGATGTTGCCGGTTCAATTCCCAGTCAGGGTACACGCCCAGGTTGTGGGCCAAATCCCCAGTGGGGGCCATGCAGGAGGCGGCCAATCGATGTTCTCTCTCATCGATGTTTCTATTTCTCTCTCCTTCTCTCTCTAAAATCAATAAAGAAAAATAAAAATTAAAAGTACCCACAAGATAAAACTGGGGTTTCACTTATGCTTAATCTTTTAATAAGCACACAATTTCTTACCTGAGGCCAATACTAATGATGTCTAGCTACAGTTATAGCTAAAGAAAACAAAAAAGAAACAGTGGAAAGCAGAGTGTGGGCTTCAGAGTCAGGCCCGTATTCAATACTCTACTGCTTATTAGCTAGGGGATTTGGGGCAAGTACATTTAACCTGTCTAAGCCTCCATTTCCTAATCTGCAAAAAGAAAAGAAGAACACCTACCTTGAAGGCTCAAAAATTTATGTATAGAACCAAATTTAGTGCCAAGGATCAAATGAACGAGATTTTCCTTTCCTTTTCCTTATAAGTTCTATCCAACTAAAATTAAAGGTGAAACAGTCTGAAGCACCACATATCTGCATACAAAGCACTATTGGTGAAGGTTTTGTCTTTATACTGCTCATCTGGCCCAAGAACCATTTTAATTAGGAAAGCCTCCCTATAGAAATTTGATTGCTTTTCAAAATTAGAAACTAAAATCAACCCTGAGCAACAACTCTGCTGTGATGATGTTGCTATTTTGTTCTCACACCATTTGCAGCCAGCATGCATGTGTTCAAAGCATAAGGCAGACTCCTCATTGGAAAGATTTGTTTTCTGAGACATCACAAGAAAATATCCCTGGACAATCATTTATGCAACAGACACCCTTTACCTAGTCAGGTCTCCAATCTTAGAACAGGTCCAAAAACTAAAGTTCATTTTCTGGGTGGGCTGAGGACATCTATATTCTATTGAAAACAGACCCAGAAGATAAGGAAAAACATGAGACTTACTGCTCAAAAAACGATTTTTAACCCATCGGTTTTGCTTCCGGGCATATCTCTTAGTCACTTGTTTCAGAGCCTCAATACCTGAAACATAAAGTAGATATAAGAACCTATAAGCACCCTGGCCTGTTTGGCTCAGCAGTTAGAGTGTCGGCCCACGGACCAGAGTCTCAGGTTCATTTCCGATCAAGGGCACATACCTCAGTTGTGATTCGATCCCTGGCCCTGGTTGGGGTCATGCGGGAAGCAACCAATCGATATGTCTCTCTCACATTGATGTTTCTCTCTCTCCTTCCCTTTCTATCTGAAAAATCAATGGAAAAATATCCTTGGGTGAGGATTTAAAAAAGCCTGGCCAGTGTGGCTCAGTGGTTGAGCATCAACCCATGCACCAAGAGGTCACCAGTTAGATTCCCAGTCAGTATACATGTCCCTGTTGTGGGCCCAATCCCCAGTGGAGGGCATGCAGGAGGTGCCTAATCAATGTTCTCTCTCATTGATGTTTCTATTTCTCTCTCCTTCTTCCTTCCTCTCTCTAAAAAAAAAAAAAAAAAAAAAAAAAATCAATAAAAAAAGAACCTCTAAATAGTTTTCAGGCCCACCCAGCCCAACAGAAAATTAGCCACAGCAGCACACTGGTGGACACTTGGTAGACAAATACCTTAATTCTGAGCTGCAGGCCATTTGGGACTCTTCTAGCCTCAGCTCTTTCTCAGACCATACCAGCAGGGGACTCTGTCACCCAAGGATGCCCAAGGCTAGGTTAGATGGAGAAATTCACACCTTTCTTTAGGAGCTGGTTACTAGTCTCTGGTGTGCATTTTCCCTCAGTGATCAGGTATTCGTGAAATTCCTTGAAGCCGATTGATTGGAAGATACCATGTTGATAGTCCTGGCTGGGAACAGGAGAGCATCAGCAGATGAGCCATTGCATCTGAGAGCTAACAGGGTCCTTGGAGATGATCTAGCTGAGCCATTTCATCCCTTAGATGACGAAATTGAGATCCTTAGCAGTTATTGCCTCTCTGAACTCCGTCCTCCACCACCCCCACCAGCTGCTAGGTTACTTCCCTTGAAAATTAACTCCTGGGAATGCTTGACAGATTAGAAAACTGCAACTGTAACAAAGACACCAAACCTCCTTCTAACAAGCCTTGCCAACCCCAAGGACAAAGGCTAACAAACAAAAAGATCCAAAGCCAGTATTAAGCTTATAGTCTTCTGACCGTAAGCAAGGGATGGAGAGTAGGTTAAAGTAGTAAGTCAAATCCTCACCTATTTTCTGCAACTTTCTTCTGATTATAGCGTCTGTGAAAATCTCTTAGTTCATCCAAGAGCCCAGTAGCAAGCATGTCATCAACCCTCTTATCCAAGCGCTCATCTAGAACTTGAATCAAATTAGCCCATCACTAGCAAGCCTACTGTAGGTGTGTCCTATACACTTACATGATGAATGGACAGGCTGTGCAAAGAGAATCTGTTCAAATGGAAGAAAGGGTTCAGAGTCCAAAGATTATATAAATAATTCAAATTATATTAGTGACACTTAAGACTCTGCAACTCTAATAAAAACAGGCAGAACAAGCCCTGGCTGGTTTGGTTCAGCAGTAGAGCATCGGCCCACAGACCAATGAGTCGCAGGTTCAATTCTGGCCAAGGTCACGTACCTTGGTTGCAGTTCGTCCCTGGCCCTGGTCGGGGTCGTGCGGGAGGCAACCAGTCGATGTGTCCCTTTCACGTTGATGTTTCTCTCTCTTTCTCCCTTTCTCCCTCTATCTCCCTCTATCTCCCTCCCATTCTATCTGCAGATAAACAGAAAAATATCCTTGGGTGAGGATTAAACACACACACACACACACATCATGTTATATAGAGAGAAAGCATACAACTGCAGCTTTTAGGGAAGACAAATATTTTATTCTCATATGGAAGTATATCCAGTGTTTATTTTAGAGGCAGCCGAGAGGCCCCTGGGTCTACCCTTCTTACTTTTTTCCATATTTGTTACTCTAACTTTGTGTTATTTCACATTTAAGAACTCTCAGATGGCACCTTAGATAGAAATGAGAAACTTTAGTCCAAAGCCACCCTTGGTGTATCTTGAACTACTGCGCCAGACAAAGGAGCAAAGAGTGACAGGTCATAATCATTCAGATGCAGTGGTCAAACACAGCTTTATTTTAAATCAGATACCATTATTTTATGCTGAATTGTAGGACATGTTTTAATTTATAAAAATTTCATTATGGCCCTAACCGGTGTGGCTCAGCTGATTGAGCATCAACCCCTACAATGAAAGGCTGTCAGTTCAATTTCTGGTCAGGGCCCATGACCAGGTTTTCAGGTTCAATCCCCAGTAGGGGGCATGCAGGAGGCAGCCCATCAATGTTTCACTATCACATCAATACTTCTCTCTCTCTCTCTCTCTCTCTCTCTCTCCCCCTTCTCCCTTCCTTTCGCTCTAAAAATCAATTTTAAAAAAAACATTAAAAAATTTTTCATTAAGGCCCGGTCAGTGTGGCTTGGTGGATTTAGTGTCGTCCAATGGACTGAGAGGTCCTGGTTCAATTCCCAGTCAGGGCACATGCCCAGGATGTAGGCTCAATCCCCAGTGGGGCACATGCAGAAGGCAGCCAATCGATGTTTCTCCTTCACATCAATGTTTCCATCTCTCTCTTCTTTCCTCTCTCTCTCTAAAAAAATCAGTCAAAACAGCCCTGGCTGGTTTGCTAAGTGGTTAGAGTGTTGGCCCATGGACCAATGAGTCGTGGATTAGATTCAGATCAAGGGCATGTACCTCAGTTCGTCCCCAGCCCTGGTTGGAGTCATGTGGGAGGCAACCAGTTGATGTGTCCCTCTCACATCGATGTTTCTCTCTCTCCCTCTTTCTCCCTCCCTCCCACCTTATCTGAAGATAAAACAAAAAAAATATCCTTGGGTGAGGATTAAATATATATATATAAATAATTGTTCATTATGAAAACATCCTTTTCCATAAACTTATAACAAATTAATTCAATAACAAAATTTCACCATGTCAGTCATCCTCTTCTACATCTCTGCCATTGCCATTTCTTGGCCTACAATGATACCAACCCTTGTTTCTCTTCCTAAAAAGTTTGCATTTATTGAGGATTCTAGATGTGTCAGGCACATTCTGAGTGCTTTGTATTATTAACTCAACTAATCCTCAATGAAGCTGTAAGATAGGTACTAACATTATCTCCATTTTACAGGAGAGGAAACTGGGGCACAGAAAGGTAAACTAACTTGCCTTAAAACTCACATAACTAGAAGATGATGGAGCAGGAATTTGAATCCCAGTCTGGCTCAGAGACCATGCTCTTAATAACTACATTATACTGCCTGTTCTCGTAATAATCGCCTCATCTTTCCAGACCTAGTTCACAGCTTACCTATGCAAATTGGTCTCTGACTCCCCTGCAGAGAAGGCTCATCATCCCTTCTCTGTGGTCCCACAGCACTTTTAGCCCAACATTTATCACAATGTAGTATCTATCTCATTTGTTGCCCCACCAGACTGGGAGCTTCTTAAGAGCATGCACTGTCTCCTATTCATCTCTGAAATCCAAGTAGCATTCAGAATACTTGACACTTCAACCTCTTCCACAGGAGCCATCCTTCTCTTTAGCTTTCTCCTTTAGGTCTTCCCTGGATGGCAATCTCTTTTCCTTCCCACTCACCCCATCTTATCCCACCCCTGGTATTTTATCCTAGTGCCAGGGCTGCTCTTACTCCCTTTCCAGATAGAAACTGGGGAATGGCACTGTGCATTACTTACTAAGTCAACAAATAATGGTAATGAAAGTAAAATTAATAGTTAACACTTGTTTAGTGTTTATTATGAGCCACTCATGGTTGGAAGCATTTTATATATAATAATGTATTACTATAAGATCTATCTCAAATGGACCCTGGGGCATCAAAGGGCTTTTACCTGTCTGGTCAGCATGAAGCCAGAGGATGCAAGAGTTAGGGAACTTCAGAGGGCCTCCAAGGGGACCGCCACCTTCCTCTGCATGTTGACGATGAAGAAATTCACTATGAGAGATTCCTGTTTCTTCAAATACTTGCAAGCTCCTAAGTAATTTGGGGCGGGAGGGGGAGTAAAGCCATAAAAACTATTAGGAAACATTAATTCTCAAGAAAAGAGGCTATTTATTATAAAACGTCTCATTCTCATTTTTTACTGCATAAGCCCTTAAAGACACGAAAGTCCAGGTTACTACAATTCTATAGCTACTCAGAAAGGGGTACTAAAGAAAACTTTAGGTAAAGTAAGAAATAATACTATTCCTCTACACACACATCATTTTCTCTGAAATCAGTTAAACAGGTTCAGAAACAACAGGTTTTTTCTATACACACAGAATGGGACTTAATTTCAGGTAAGCAGTAAAAGAACTTGTTTGGGACACTTTGTTACAAGCCAACAAGTCTAGTCTCGCTGGAATGCCTTTCCCACAGTAGAAAAATATGTTGTACAGCCAGCTCATCAACTTTCTTTTTAAGTATGTCTAAAATTCTGACTAATTCAGTACTCTACTAGTACACTAAGGTCACTGAAAAAAGAACTCATACTTTTAAGCCACCATCTACTCTGTCAGTATCTGTTATGTTATGCAGCACTAGGTAATTTAACTCCCAAATCTATACTCTACCACTCTGAGTGATTGCAACTTATCAGCTTGAAAGTGATCTTTCCCTTCCTGACCCAATTCTACTTCCTGAAACCCTAATACAAGAGTAGAGACCCCATGTCTTTTCGTAGCACTGGCCATTCATTCAGAGGACCTATGAGGAAAAAATGTATAGTGACAGATATCTCACTTTTCTGGAGGTTAGAATACAGGCTCAAAGTAAAAGAAAGATGAGAAAAGTCCCTCAATCCTCTCTAAAGAGAGACTACAGAGCTCTTGTTTAGAATCAACTACTCTTATGAAGACACAATTCTCAACTCATTACTAGTTTAGAAGTAGAAAATGAGGAGAGGTAATAAAGAAAGAACTACTTGAGCCCTGGCTGGTTTGGCTCAGTGGTTGGAACGTCGGCCTGCGGTACAGAGAGACCGGGGTTCGGTTCCCGCTAAGGGCACGTACCTAGGTTGCAGTTTGTCCCCAGCCCTGGTTGGTCGTGCAGGTGGCAGCCACTCAATGTTTCCCTTTCATGTCGATGTTTCTCTCTCTCTCTCTCTCTCTTTTCCTCTCTCTCCCTCTCACTCTATCTGAACAAAAAATGGAAAAATGTCCTTAGGTGAGGGGAAAAAAAAAAAAAGAACTACTTGATAAAAGGAGAGGATAATATAGACCAAGCTTCAGAATCATATCATAAAACAATATAAAAATGAATATTCATCACAATGTTCCTGAGTTTTCAAAAATTTTTTTGAAAGATTCTATTAAAATGTTTAAATAAAATGTTTGGATACTAGAAATATAAACTTCATTTATCTAAAATTTCCATTATCACCAAGGAAAAAAAAAAACCCACAAAAACTTAGCTATTACTAGGTATGTGGCCCTCCAAATGGCAACTATACCAAAAAAAATCTTATTCTTCAGTATTAAAATTTCATTGATTTTGAAGAAGGAATGGGGCACAAATAGGGAAATTTTTTTCTAAAATGGCTTCTGGATGGGGTGGGGGCAATAATGAAAAAAGAATGTAGTAACATGACCTAGAACGTTCATTTGAATGGAAACACTTCATAATCCCTATCAATACCAGATGTCGCTATAATATTTAATCTGTATAACCATCCACATAATAGGCACTTCATTAGATCCTCTACTCTGCCAGACACAGAAAAATACATCCAATACATGAAGCTGTAATTTCAAAACAACCTAAGAAAACATGACCTTCTGAGTTTATTCACCACCTTTCTCTTCCGTTCTAGAAAATCTCCATGTGTAAAGGTGAACTAATCTAGGGACAGTTTATAATATCTACCACCCACTGGGAAAGCTGCTGCGGCAGAACTCAACATTGCACAGTTAATTATGATACTCAAATCACAGCTGCATGCCAGAAAAATTTATATGAAAACTGTTATACAAGCAAAGATCAAATAGAAAATGAAGCAAGATTACATAGGCCCTGAGGGAAAAGCATATTGTACATGCATTTTAAATGTAACAACAAAGTAGGGCGCAACTATTTATTGAGGGAGTTGGATGGTAGCAATAACTTAGGGGCTCCTAACCTTCCAAGCTGTAGGACATTAGTCTCCATTAACTACTATACCAAACCTCACCAAACAGGCACAGTGACTGCCCTCCAGCTCTAAAGCAAATCCAGGGTCAGCTGGCCCAGGCTTTCTTACCTGGCCACTTTGCGCTTGTCATGTGGGTGCAGCTTAGCAGCCATTTCTGGATCCACCTGGCTTAAGCGTTTGTGAAGTACATAGCCATCTTCCTTTTCAAGCTCTACTTTCCGGTCAATCACCTTCTCACTGCCCATCTCCTGGGGCTATTAAATGAAGGTTTAGAAGTAAATTTAACTCAAGAAGCACCAAGACAGTGTATGTGCCAGGGACTCAGCTAAATGTTAAGAATATAGAATAGAAATGCATCAGAAGATCTTGCCATACAGTGAGAGACAGATCGTAAACAGAAAATTCCAATACAACATGGTAGTGCTGTGAGACCACAACAAACAAAGAGAAAGGCGGACTTACGCCTAGGGAAATACTCAGGTACCCTGTTTCCTTGTCAGAAATACAAACAGGTACCGGGACTAACATTTCTACATTAACACATCCAGGATTCTAGTGTTCTCAGCAACTGTGAGCAAAGAATGGATCAGAATAGCCAGCACACTATAGCTACAAAGTCCCACCCTATGCAATAGCATCTCTATAAGAAAGGTTAGTACTGGACATCTCCCTGACACATAGATTGTTACAGCCAGAAAATGCTGAATCAGAACAGTGCACTGCTAACTTACATGGAGATGCTAATTAATCCACAGAGGAGCATTTTTCCCACACACAGCCCCTGCCCTTAGGCCTGCCTGGAGGAGCACATTTTACATATGGAGGTGGCATTTGTTTCAGAATATTAAGTAGGAAAATTAACAGTTGCTGAGTGTAAGAAATAGGCAAGAGTCAACCTTCCTCCCACTAAAATTAGTTGGCAAGTAATAAGAACCCATTTCCTTAGTGAGTTGCAAGTGAACTAAACATACCTTAGCACTGATAAGAACTTTCCAGAGCAGAGACTCAATGTAATAATTGGTTCCTCCCACGACAATAGGAATTTTGTCTCTGGCAAATATATCTTCAATGTGAGTATTAAGAAAGACATCACAATATTTAATATCAGAAGAGAATCCTGACTCACTGAGAAAAGAGAGTTATTAACAAGAAACCACATTCACTTGTCTAGAGAGTAGAGGAGAAAGGGTAGAAACCAAGATGAATTAATACTGTTTCCCATGAGTTCTCAGAATCATTTCCTATCAGTTCTGGAGGGACTTGCATAAACCAGAGACAGATAAATGATTGTAATTACTTCCAGTTCTAGAACTTTCTAGGCCTTGCTGCTAAAATTTAAAGCTTGTCTGGTATTCCAAATTGGCTGAATGAGCACAGGTTCAAGGACTCTCACAGAACCAAGTGTCAGTTGCTCAGGAAGCCACCAAGGTGACATCCTAAGGTGACACTTCTAAGGCAAAATACAAGCTGGTTCTCTAAGCCATGGCTCTTAGATTCAGTCTTCACTATTACATGGTGGTAGTGCACATTTCAGCCACTTGAGACTCTACTAGATAAACTGAGAAGCACTGGTTCTAAAGACAAATAGATTTCAATTACCAGCTCCGGTTCTTGGGCATGTTATTCAACCTGTCTGAGCTTCAGTTTTCTCATCTGTAAAATCCTCATGAGTTCTTATGAGCATTATATGTGACAAAGCAAATAAATCCACAACCACAATGCCTGAAATATTTTTTCAATTGAGTAAGCGTTCAATTTATAATTTTACTTTAGTCACTATTGTTTTTATATCACTACTACTTTGAATTTTTTTCTTTAGAACTCTGTTGAACAGATCATTATCTGCTTTAAGAAGCTTTGCTTCTGAGTATAATTGATAAAAAGACTTTCAACCCAAACAAAGACTCATTTACACATTTCTTTCCCTTGCCAGCCAGTCTGTGGGCACAGGCATAGATGACCTCTTTTCTATCAGAAGCCCACTAACTTTTAAGAAGTTGGGGTGGGGTGGAAAGATGTTAGCAATCAGGAATCATATAAAAGAAACATTATGTATTTGTTTTTTAAAAAGAGAAACAAATTCTATATTCCTCTTCTGAAATTAAGCACTGGAAGTATACAATTAACAAAGGGAAAAGGAAAAGGAAAATAAAAAAGGAAGACTAAAAACAGTGAGATTTGAGCAGGGGGGAATGGAAAAGAGGGAGAGAAATGGGGAGGAGATATGTAATGAAAAATTCTAACTTGTTTGCACAAGCCATTAAACAACTGTGATGCTGGGCAAAACCCTTCTCTCTGGGCCTCAGTATCTAGCACCTTCATCTGTCTAATCAAGAAGGCTGACTGGCTACTTCTTTAGGTACTTTCAGTTTTGATATTCTGACTGTAGGTTCTTACCTAAATTCATTAAATCACCAATCCTATAATTGACTTGATTAAATCATTCCCACTGCTGCTGCCCTTTGAAATTTTTAATTAGCTCTTCATTTTCTATAAGTTTTTCCTGAACAACCAAACTGTCCTATAGCAACAATGTATTTTGGTGATATATTTTAATTACCAAAGGATTTTCATATACCTTATCTTATCTGATACAACTGCCTTGTAAAGCAGGTAGGGCAAGAATTATTATCCACATTTAAATCTCTGCCCATTTGAGAGGCAAAAAAATACTATCTCATTATTTTGATTTGCATGGCCCTGATTAACAGCAAGGACAAACCCTTTTTCATGTTTATCACCATTTATATTTCTTCCTTTGTGAATTACTACTCATGACCTTTAGTTTCTGTACTGATTCATAAGAGTTCTTCATATATTAAATATATTAATATTTTGCCTTTCCTATGTTAACAAAAAATTTCCCCCTGGTTTGTAGTCTGTTTTCAAATTTTGTTTATGGTGGGCTGTTTTCCTTTTTTTTTTTAAATTATAAAATATCATATGCATATATAATATATATATATACATACACATACAAGAACATTTTAACATATGCACATTATGAAGCCCAGTAATAAAATAAATACTAATGAACCCAATTTAAGAAAAGAAATATTATTAATTCCTTTGAAGTTTCTGTGTATTCATTCCAATCTCAACCCCCAACTTCCCCTCTCCCTAAGGGGGTGTTTTTCATCATTCCTCTGCTTTTCTTCTTTTTTTTAAATCCTCACCTGAGGATATTTTTACATTGATCTTCAGACACAAGCAGGAGGGAGAGAGAGAAACATCGATGTGAGAGAGACACAGAGACTGGTTGCCACCTGCACAACTCCAACCAGGGCCGGGGACAAACTGCAACCGAGGTACGTGTCCTTGGCTGGAATCAAACCCAGGACTCTTTGGTCCACAGGCTGACACTCTAACCACTGAGCCAAACTGGCCCCTTACTTTTCTTTACATTATTACTGATAAGTATATACCGCTAAAGAATATATTAATACATATAATCAATATATAACAATATACTATATGGTTAGTTTTGCTTGCTTTTTAACTTTTATAATAAATGGTATGAACATATATGTATCCCTCTATAATTTCTTCCTTTTTTTTTTAATCCTCACCCGAGGATATTTTTCCATTTTTTGTACAGATAGAGTGGGAGGGAGAGAGAGGAAGGGAGAGAGAGAGAGAAACATCGACGTGAAGGGAACACATCGAGTGGCTGCCACCCGCACGACCAACCAGGTCCGGGGACAAACTGCAACCGAAGTACGTGCCCTTAGCAGGAACCGAACCCGGGTCTCTCCGGACCGCAGGCCGACGCTCTAACCGCTGAGCCAAACTGGCCAGGGCTCCCTCTATAATTTCTCAAATGTTATGTTGTTTCTGAGATTCTTCCACATTGGTTCATGCATGTAGCTATAATTTATTCATTTTCACTGCTGAAAAAGTAAACTTATATGAACAGAGCAAATTTCATACATTTTTGTAAGTAGGAATTTCAATGTTTGTGTTTTTGTTGTTTAGAGAAATGCTGTTATAGAATGAGACCTACCACATATCTCCAGGCATACTTATAACAAGATTTCTCTAAGGTAGATAGATACCTAGGAGTCTGGTTGATATATATTTTTGCCAATATAAATTCTTAATTCTTATATATTCAATTCTAACTATTTTCTCTTTTTAAAAAATTACCATTGCCCTGGCTGGTTTGGCTCAGAGAGACCCGGGTTCAGTTCCAGCTAAGGGCATGTACGTTGGTGGCCATTTGTCCCCGACCCTGGTTGGGCTGTGCAGGAGACAGCCACTCGATGTGTCCCTTTCATGTTGATGTCTCTCTCTCTCTTCTTCTCTCTCCCTCCCACTCTATCTGAACAAAAAATGGAAAAATGTCCTCGGGTGAGGATTAAAAAAAAAATTACTGCCTTGGCCGATTTGACTCAGCGGTTAGAATGTCGACCTGAGGTGCAGAGAGACCCGGATTCGGTTCCCGCTAAGGGCATGTACCTCAGTTGCAGTTTGTTCCCGATCCTGGCTGGGTCATGTGGGTGGCAACCACGCGATGTCTCTTTCACATCGATGTTTCTCTCTCTCTCTCTCTCCCTCCCACTCTATTTGAACAAAATATCAAAAAAAATTTTTTAATTAAAAAAATTTTTTTTAAATCCATAAAAATTTTATAAAAGAATACCTAGAAAGCCCTTCTCTATTCTCAAATCACATAACTATTCAATTATATTATCCCATTTGTTTTAACTTTTTTAAAATATATTTTTATTGATTTTTTTTAGAGAGGAAGGGAGAGAGAGATAGAAACATCGATGTGAGAAACATATGCCTCCTACACGCCCCCCACTGGGGATCAAGCCTGCAACCCTGGCATGTGCCCTGACTGGGAATTAAACCAGAACCTCTCTCAGTCCATGGGACAGCACTCAATCCACTGAGCTATACCAGCCAGGTATGCAACCATTTTTATATGAGGTTCGGAAGTATTCAAGATACTAATCATAGCCCCAGCCAGTTTGGCTCAGCAGTTAGAGTGTCGGCCTGCGGTCCAGAGACACCCAGGTTCGGTTCCCGCTAAGGGCACGTACTTCGGTTGCAGTTTGTCCCCAGCCCTGGATGGGTTGTGCAGGTGGCAACCACTCGATGTGTCCCTTTCATATCGATGTTTCTCTCTCTCTCTTCCTCCCACTCAATCTGAACAAAAAATGGAAAAAATGTCCTCGGGTGAGGATAAAAATAAATAAATAAATAAATAAATGAATGCATACTACCTTAGCCTGGCTGGTGTGGTTCTGTGGATTGAGCATCATACCGATGGAGGGGTCTTGGGTTTTATTCCTGGTTGAGGCACATGCCTGGTTGTAGGCTCGATCCCCAGTAGAGGGCACGTAAAAGGCAGCCAATCGATGTTCCTCTCTCACATCGATGTTTCTATTTTTCTCTCCCTTCCTTACTCTCTAAAAAAAGCACTAAAAACATATTTAAAAAAAATGATACCTTAATAAGCTAATATATATGCCCATTTGAATTTGTATCTTCTATTCTGTGCCATAAGTTTGTCTAGTATATAACTTCCATTCTATTATAATTACTATGAATTTTCACTGTTTTAATATCTGTCAGTCCAGATATTAAAGGCAATCTGGACATTAAAATATAAGGACATACCCCCTTATACTATACTCTTTTCAAAAATTACTGGTATTACCCATAACAATTTTTTCCAGTCCCCCCATCCCCACCCCAAAAATCCCTTTGAAATTCTAACTGGACCCCCATTATATTTATAAATTAATTAAGGGTGTAAAACTGAAGCTCAGTAGGGTAAATACTTTAATCAATAAAATTCACGTGTTCAAAAGAAATGGCACTAAGACTGGAACACAGATTCTCTGGTTCCTAAATCAATGTTCTCTCCACTAAAACAGTGCTTCTCACTTTTTTTTTCATCCTCACCCGAGGACATTTTTCCATTTTTTGTACAGATAGAGTGGGAGGGAGAGAGAGAGAGAGGGAAACATCGATGTGAAAGAGACACATCGAGTGGCCGCCACCCACACGACCAACCAGGGCCGGGGACAAACTGCAACCGAGGTACATGCCCTTAGCAGGAACCGAACCCGGGTCTCTCTGGACCACAGGCAGATGCTCCAACCGCTGAGCCAAACCGGCCAGGGCGCTTCTCAAATTTTAATATGCATATGAATCACCTGGTACTCTTGTTAAATGCAGATTCTGATTTAGTAGGTGTGATGTGAGGCCCCAATTCAGCATTTCTAACAAGTTCCCAAGGAATGCTGATGTTGCAGTCTGAGGACAAGACTTTGAGTAGCAAGGACACTATATCTTTCACTCCACATAGTGCTGATGGGATGCTACCCTTAGTAGTTAGATCTTGTGTGCCCCTGCTTAGAAGAAACTGTCACTAGAAAGATAACTTCTTTCTTGGCTTTGGCTGCCTTGCCATCCATCAAGCCTAGTTGATGTCTTTCTGAAGGATATCAGAGCAGTTGCCTTGTTCCTGAAGTCCACCACTGTGTAATTTGTTACCAGAGGATCCACAAAGCTGATCATGTGGTGCTGGCATAGTCTCTGCTCTTGGGTAGAAATCTTGTTAGTGATGATATCCAGGCCTTCATAAACCTAGTAGAAAGAAAATTAGCATGAGAAAGTCATCAGCCTCCATTAAATGTACACTTAATGGGTGCAAATGGTGATCAGTTCCTCCCTCCAGCCAAACACTTGACTGACCCAAAGCACCAGAGTAGATGTGATCTAACCAGAGCACAGCCACAAAACCCAAGACAAAGGAAGTAGAAGAATATAGAACATTGGCTTTCTTATCAAATACTGGTTTTCCCCACTATCCCAAACTAGAGTGTTTCTATGAAACTTTAATAAGATAAAAATGGGGTAAAATGAAGATACAATTATCATTAATTTATATGAGAAAAATTTTTTATCTTTCCCAGATCTCAAATTCAATGCATGCACAATGTCTGTATTTTGTTTACCACTAAACATAACACCCTTACAAGCTCTTTTAGGCTTTGCTAATACCTTAGAACACAACCTACTAATGGATGCACAAAATAAATTGAGATACAGCCCAGATGCTCACAGACACTGTTCGAAACTATGATGACTTGATGCTGAAATGATGGGTGTAGTTCCCATAGAAAGAGTTTGGAGTTGCCTTTTATAACAACTTCCTGCAAAATAAATAATGAAAGCTATTTCACTTTTTTCATAAAAAGCAAACATTCTCTTTGGCCCTGGTGCAGCTCAGTTGATTGAGTGTTGTCCCATGCACCAAAAGGTTGCTGGTTTGATTCCCTGTCAAGGCACATGCCTGGGTTACATGCTTGACCCCCTGTAGGGGGTGTGCAGGAAGCTGCCAATTGATGTTACATTCTCACATTGATGTTTCTCTCTCTCCCTCTAAAAATCAATAAACTATTCTTTTAAAAAATCATCTTTAGCCCTGGTCAGTTTGGCTCAGCGGTTGGAGCGTTGGCCTGTGGACCAGAGAGAGTCCCGGGTTCGATTCCCGCTAGGGGCACGTACCAAAAAAAAAAAAATATATATATATATATATATATATATATAAATATATATATATAATCTTTAGATCTTCCAGTTAGTAAAAATGGTACAGGTTTCCCCACTATCTGAAAGAAGAGCGTTTCTATGAACCCTTTCATAAAACGATATGGTGTAAGGTAAAAAGAAGCAATACTACTAATTTAAAAACCTCTTATTTAATTAATTTAAAATCCTCTTCAGATTTCTTTTGGTTAGTGATAATAGGTATTAATGTAGACCTTACTTGTAAAAGTGAAGTGGCTTTAACGTGAACTTTTGAAAAGTGGGGATACCTGTAGTGGCTATTAGCTCAGACTTAAAGATTAAAAGAGTATGTAAATCAGTGCCCAAATGAACTAATTCTGCAAGATTAACCAAAAGTTCTTTGGCCTGAACTTTAAGCATTTAAATGGATAGACTGTTTTATTTATTCTACTTATCACAAGTCTGCAGAAAGGTAACGTTTTGCATTGCTCATAGTTCTACTTCAAATGCTTACATATCTTGGGATTTAAGTGGTTCTGAAAGCTTTTTAGAATTTGTATTAGATTGATTCCATTTGTGGAGAAGTGGCGTATCTACAATAATATATATAAAACGCACAAAGTCAACTATACTTTAATAATAAATAAATAAAACACACATACACACTTTGAAGTCAGACCTTTAAATTAATACTGTACTCTGATGGAAATTGTGATATATCCAAATTACTGCTTCAGGGGGTAAGCCCATACAGTCTAAACATTCAAAGGCAATATCCTATCTGTAAAGTTCTTGATCTGCCAATTCAACTAAAAAGTTCAAGTGTATTTTTTCTAAATGCAAGGTCTCAAATGGAGAACAGATCTGAAAACACTAGTTTGAAACTAGGGATGAATGCTTTGAGATTAAATGTTCTCTCTGTAATCACTGATTCTACAGGGAGTGTTGAATGAACAAATAATAAGTTCCATAGAGCCCACAAAGATGTTAAAAGCATTTTTTATCTCACATTTCCCTGTACTTATATGGCTGTCATATAAGTACAGTACAGTATAATGGTTAGAAGGACCCTGGCGCCAGGCTGCCTCAGATCAATTCCTAGCCCTGCCACTTACTAGTTATTTGTACTTGGGAGTAGTCAGTTACTAACCTCTCTGCGACTCAATCCCTCATCAGCAAAATGAGGATGATAATGTCTACTTCATAGGGTTACTGTGTGGATTAAATGAGTTAATACATGTAAATCACTTAGTTTTTGCTTAGCACACAGTAAATGCTACCTAAAAGTCATTATATAACTACTTATATTAGAACCACTAGCACTACTATCACAATAACATAGGGAGAATGGAAATAATTTTAGTTTCACTATTTAGCATTCTGAAGCCTCTGTGCTCTTAGCTACGGAGGTTATTTATCCAGCAAGGATATAAGCTATCTTTAAGTAAAAGAAAACTATTAGTAAAACAGCACACAGAAAAAATACAGGTCATAGAGAAAGAACCAGCTCTGCCTTTAACTCATTTAATCTGTACCTGACAACAGACTTGCATCCTTACACCTGAATATTAATGGAATCTTAAATCATAGAGCGTTATTTTCTGTCTATTTGGAACAAGACTTCCTTCTGATGTTATAAAGTGCCGTAGGGTATACTATATACTGGTCTTCCATGCAAATTAAAACAACCAGAGGGGAAAATGAAGTAATAATTGTATGTTCCTCTTTCTCTTTTCTCACAGCCTTTAGTTGACTCTATTAGAGCTTAGAATTCCCAATGACCCAATGTTAAAAAATTTACATAGCAACAACTTGATTTTGCCAGATATCATAACTCTGTAATTGGAGTCTCATATTTTTTAAAACTTTTTTGTTGTTGTAAATCCTCACCTGAGGATATCTTTCCATTAGTTTTTAGATAGACTGGAAGGGAGTGAAGGAGAGGGAGGGAGAGAGGGGGGGTGGGGAGAGAAAGAGAGAGAGAGAGAGAAACATTGAAGTGAGAAAGACACATCGACTGGCTGCCACCCACATGACCCCAATCAGGGCAGGGGACAAACTGCAACCAAGGTACGTGCCCTTAGCAGGAACCAAACCTGGGTCTCTCTGGTCCGCAAGCTAACGCTCCAACCGCTGAGCCAAACCAGCCAGAGCCCGCTCTATCTTAAAAAAAAAAATCCAAAGAGCCAGTGTGGCTCAGTTGGTTGAGTGTCATCCCTTGCACCAAATGGTCGCCAATTCGATTCTGAGTCAGGGCACATGCTTGAGTTAGGGCACCTGCCTGGGTTGCAGGCTAGATGGTAGGAGACATGCAGGAGGCAACCAATTGATGTTTCTCTCTCATATCAATGTTTCTCTCTCTCTCCCCCTTCCTCTCTCTCTAAAATCAATAAAACCATTTTTTTTAAATCCTCACTTGAGGACATTTTGCATGTATCTTCAGATAGAGCAGGAGAGAGGGAGGGAGGAAGAGAGACAGAGAAACATCGATGTGAGAGAGACATATTGAGTGGCTGCCACCCACCCACACGACCCCAACCGGGGCTGGGGACAAACTGCAACTGAGGTACGTGCCCTTAGCGGAAACCAAACCTGGGACTCTCCAGTCCACAGGCTGATGCTCTAACTGCTGAGCCAAACTGGCCAGGGCAATAAAAAAATATTTTTTAACATACTTAGCCAATTATCAACATAACTAACATTTCAGCAAACATTTCTGAGAGTCTGCTATGTTCCAGGTACTCTGCAAGATGTTCAGCATTGCAAGGAAGATTAAGAAGTGGTACCTGGCCCTGGCCGGTTTGGCTCAGGGGTTAGAGCGTCGGCCTGCGGTCCTGAGAGACCCGGGTTTGGTTCCCGCTAGGGGCGCGTACCTCGGTTGCAGTTTGTCCCCAGCCCTGGTCGGTTGTGCAGGTGGCAGCCACTCGATGTGTTCCTTCACGTCGATGTTTCTCTCTCTCTCTCTCTGTTCCTCTCTCTCCCTCCCACTCTACCTGAACAAAAAATGGAAGAATGTCCTCGGGTGAGGATAAAAAAAAAAGAAGTGGTACCTGTCCTCAAGGAGTCCAGGCTAGTAAGAAACACAGACACAAATAACTGTACTATAAGGAGATAAGTGATATAAAAGTTTATAAGAGAAATATTAAAGTTTGGCCCTAGCCAGTTTGGCTCAGCGGTTAGAGCGTTGGCCTGTGGTCCAGAGATACCCGGGTTCGGTTCCCGCTAAGGGCATGTACCTCGGTTGCAGTTTGTCCCCGGCGCTGGGTCCTGCAGGTGGCAACCACTCAATGTGTCTCTTTCACGTCAATGTTTCTCTCTCTCTCTCTTCCTCTCTCTCCCTCCCACCACTCTATCTGAACAAAAAACGAAAAAATGTCCTCGGGTGAGGATAAAAAATAAATAAAGTTTGACTGTATAATCTTTTCTAAATATCATAACCCCTAAATGGTCTAGGTATCTAATTGAGTACTATACCCCTTTGTCTCACCTCTAGTGAGGTTTTATTTCCAGACTGAAAAATTTTGGGGAAAAGGTCACAAGGCTGAAATAACCTGAACTTTCCAAGTCAACAGAACTGAAGTACCCAGAGGAGCTAATGAAGATGAGGGAAAGCTACAACAGAGACCTGGAAGAACACAAGCAGAATCCAGAGTTGAGGTTGTAAACCAATGAATCTGTCCATTAGGGGACATCTGCAATGTCTGGAAACATTTCTGGCTGTCACAACTGTAGGGGTGGGGGTGCTGCTGGCATCCAGTGGGTAGAGGCCAGGGATGCTGCTCAACATCGTACAATGTACAAGACAACTCCCCATGCCCACAACAAAGAATTATCCAGCCCAGCCAGTGTGGCTCAGTGGACTGAGTGTCATCCCATGGACTGAGTCTCGGTTCAATTCCCGGTCGGGGTACATGCCCGTGTTCTGGATTCAATCCCCAGAAGGGGGCATGCAGGAGGCAGCCATCAATGTTTCTTTCTCACATCAATGTTTCTCTCTCTCTCTCTCTCTGAAAAAAAAAAAAATCAATAAAAACATATTTAAAAAAAAAAAAAAAAGAATTATCCAGCCCAAA